CAAGGACCGAGGATTGGTCCGAATTCAGAGTTGGGTCTATTGTCAAGTCTAGGGTCTGAGGTTGAGTCCAGGTCTAGTGTATCTGTGTGTATTTTGGTGTATTAGTGCATGTGTGTGTGTGTGTGCATTTTGATATATTAGTGTATGTGTGCGTATTTTAATATTTTATTAAAATAATCTTTACACAAAATTCTAGAAGTGATCTTTAGCCATTAAAACAGTAGTAAAAAAATTATAAAATGATTTTAACCACGAAAAGTAAAAATTATTTTTATATTTTTTGAAATGTAATTTTTTTTATACTTTATTACATAGATATTTTTTAAATAAATTGAACTTTACTTTTATCATATTAGGCGTCTCAATATTCAGCTCACATGTCCCTATTCATTGGCCACCAGACAAAAATAAAATAATCTTTACCTTAAAATGGAGAATGATTAGCTGGGGACTTTACCCCCATAGGAGTTACAATATGACCTAACGAGGTCCCCACAGATTGTGGAATGGGATGGTAATAGGGCAAGTCAATGAGTGCCCCGAACAGAAGAAAGAGTCAAAGAATTCTAGATATTTACAAGAAAGAACCAAGAAAATCAAATAGATCCTATTAATTTGCCGAAATTTTTTATTTTTTTTTAACTTCATTAACTTGTTGGAGTAATTCGGATGGTGAAATTTCAATTGTTTATATCTTGAGATTCTGAATTTGACTATGAGACATCTGATTTGTCAATGATTGTACTTATTTTGCATATAACGATTTCCAATTAACAAAAAATGTAACACTATTAAACGGGTTNGAAAATCAAATAGATCCTATTAATTTGCCGAAATTTTTTATTTTTTTTTAACTTCATTAACTTGTTGGAGTAATTCGGATGGTGAAATTTCAATTGTTTTTATCTTGAGATTCTGAATTTGACTATGAGACATCTGATTTGTCAATGATTGTACTTATTTTGCATATAACGATTTCCGATTAACAAAAAATGTAACACTATTAAACGGGTCTAAAGCATATTTTCCCACAAATTATCGAGGATTGTTACTAATAAATTGAGAATCTTCCATGAAATCATATACTTGAGCTACCAATCTTTACGAATTTTTTTTTATTGTAATTAATTTCTTGTCATTAAGTGGATTTAGACATTAGATATATAACTTTTCATGGTGGCATCCATAACCAAAAACATCTAATGGTAAATGGACCATCATCATCATAGTCATTCTTTTCATTTCCTCTTTATTCAATTGTATTCAATAGTAGACGGCCACTTATCATAAATTCAATTGAGATTTATTATTTATAAGTGGTCTCTCACTCATAGACGATAAATAATATATCGTTAAATTAAAATATAATAGAAACAACAATCAATTTTCTTCGATGCTCTTATTTTTCAATTTTGTCAATTTAGGATTTGATACTGTCATTCATCNTCATCATCATAGTCATTCTTTTCATTTCCTCTTTATTCAATTGTATTCAATAGTAGATGGCCATTTATCATAAATTCAATTGAGATTTATTATTTATAAGTGGTCTCTCACTCATAGACGATAAATAATATATCGTTAAATTAAAGTATAATAGAAACAACAATCAATTTTCTTTGATGCTCTTATTTTTCAATTTTGTCAATTTAGGATTTGATACTGTCATTCATCGTGAAATATTGTGGCCCCACTAGTGAGTTGTCTAGGTAAGTTTTGAGTATTTTAGCGAGCATAACATTGAGAGATCCAAAGTGACCTTTGTCAACTTGTTAGTTTCCTCCGCAACTTCATCCAAAGGGCTACTGATAGTCCAACGAAGCTACAATGTGAACTTTTCTAACTTTAGCTAGCAGCTCAACTTCCCCTCTCTGATTCATTCTACAGCAGTTGTAGACTTTTAAGATATTCTCTCTCTCTCTCTCTCTCTCTCTCTCACACACACACACACACCACATTAGCAAACACACAAACAATCACACACACACACACACCTTTACAAAAAGTAAGTGTAGTGGAAGTGGAACCTCTCTCTCTCTCTCTCTCTCTCTCTCTCTCTCTCTTCTCCCATTCACTGCAAATGGAAACTAGGTCATCTATTTTATCACATATATTCTGCTTTCTATATTGTTCTGCTATCTCTNTCACACACACACACACACCACATTAGCAAACACACAAACAATCACACACACACACACCTTTACAAAAAGTAAGTGTAGTGGAAGTGGAATCTCTCTCTCTCTCTCTCTCTCTTCTCCCATTCACTGCAAATGGGAACTAGGTCATCTATTTTATCACATATATTCTGCTTTCTATATTGTTCTGCTATCTCTTGTGCCAAGATTAATACACCTAAGTTCCCTGCATCAATCATTAGTCCAGAACAACAGCTCTCTCTTGCCTCAGACAATGAGCTGTACCAAGAGAAATACTTCACCCAAATCCTTGATCACTTCAATTATAATCCACAGAGTTACCAATCCTTTCAACAAAGATACTTGATCAATAACACTTACTGGGGTGGTGCTAAGAACAATGCTCCGATCTTCATCTACACCGGAAATGAAGGAGACATCGAGTGGTTTGCTCAAAACACAGGTTTTATGTTCGAGACAGCCCCCCATTTCAAAGCTCTTCTAGTTTTCATCGAGGTAGCTTGCATGAAAATACTACTTTTTTTTTTTTTTTACATTCCTATGAAGCCAGGAAAATACTACTTTTTTCTCTTTGAAAACTTTCCAATTTCCACGCATTTTCTTGGAAGTCAAACAGGAAGAAAAAAGGAAGAAGAAAGAACCCGTTTTGTGATCAAACAAGAGGGGCTAATACTATGTTTCTTGGCTTTGGATATGTATGAATTACAGCATAGATTCTATGGGAAATCCATTCCTTATGGGGGTGACAAAGATGTAGCTTATTCGAACTCAAGCACACTTGGATATCTGAGCTCAACACAGGCTTTGGCAGATTATGCAACTCTTACAATTGATCTGAAAAAGAATTTGACAGCAACTGACTCTCCTGTGGTGGTCTTTGGAGGTTCCTATGGAGGAAGTACGGTATTATTTTTCAATTATTTTTTAATTACTATTCAAACTTCAGCATCTGATTTAATGTAGACTCAATTGATTTGATTAGGCGTGGGGAGCAACAGCTGGAAACGGTTGTTAATATCTTGTAGGATGAGAAGCAAAAAGAGGAATCCCCTCTATATTTTTTTTGAATATGATTCACTTTTTATCGGGTCAAATCTCACTTTGTGAAAAAAGCTTCAATTGTTTCTTTATGAAAACATGACTTTTAGGTTATTATCTCTTTGTTTTTCGTAATATTGACCACATTTCATAAATTTAATGGGTTTTGCAGTGCTGGCAGCATGGTTTAGGTTAAAGTACCCACATGTTACCATCGGGGCCTTGGCATCTTCTTCACCAATCCTTCAATTTGAGAACATTATATCACCATATAGCTTCAACAACATCATCACCCAAGACTTTAGGGTCTCTCTCTCTCTCTCTCTCTCTCTCTCTGAATTTTTGTTTTAATTTCTATGTTACCCAAGACAAAAGACATCATAGATGAGGTTTAGGATAAGGTTACATCTCTATGGACACCAAGATCGATGAATTGATTTATTCACAACATAGACAAGTTTTTATTAATGTCCAAGAAGTTTTTGGAAATATTTACAAATTGCAAATCAAGACAAACTCACATGTGCTGTGATTTGAATTATTGGGTCAATGACTTTTTAACGCATTGTGATTTGGATATGTGACACTTTATGTCTATAATACATTCACAAAGAGTATAAACAATCATTNGATTTGAATTATTGGGTCAATGACTTTTTAACGCATTGTGATTTGGATATGTGACACTTTATGTCTATAATACATTTACAAAGAGTATAAACAATCATTTTAACATGATATGGAACTTGGTGGTGCCTAACTATGTTTTTTCTCTTTTTTTTTTTCTTCTTACTGTGTGAAAACTAGAGTGAGAGTGAGAATTGTTACAAAGTGATCAAAGGGTCATGGCAACAAATTGAAGACACTGCAAGGCAGCCTGGTGGACTTGAGCTACTTCGAAAATCATTTAGAATATGCAAGTAAGTACTTCTCAATACACATGCTGTTGTTTATTTATATTTCAAATTTGCCCCCTAGAAATTTAATTTTCTCATTCCTCACCCCCCCCCCCCCCAAAAAAAAAAAAAACACACACACACAGGAACTATATTGATGCAGGTTCTCTGAAGGATTGGCTTAGCACAGCCTATGTTTACACGGCCATGACAGATTATCCAACCCCTTCAAATTTTCTTAATCCCATGCCAGCTTATCCAGTAAAACAGGTACTAATTTTTAAACATAACCCAAAATAAATTAAAAAAATATTGAGCAATATATATAAATGAGTCTCTACCTATAAATAATTTTTTTGAACGGACTACTAGTATATAATAGGTGATCTCGTATTGAACAAATTAAGAAAAATATTTTAAAATTGACGTGAATCCTAATTTTTCGGTAGGACATTTCATCTGTTTTAATTCTTCGGATGACAATTAAAGGATCTAAATCATTTTCTATATACTTTCTTAAAATTTTGTTCAATGATTGGTCCATTTATCATGTGTTGGTAAATAATCTATTTATACAAAGAGGATCTCCTCTCAATTTATGAAGAGTGAAATAATATTAAAAGAAAAAAAAAAAATGTTTTAAGTAAAATTTTTATGTTAATTTTATAAACCTTGTTCAAGGGTGTTTTGACTTTTTTTGTTTGGAGTGCAGATGTGTACAGCAATTGACGATCCAAAGGCTGGGAATGACAACTTCGAGAAGTTGTACGGTGCAGCTAACATCTATTATAACTACACTGGTAACGCCACGTGCTTCGATCTTGAGGATCATTCAGATCCTCACGGCCTTGGTGGATGGACATGGCAGGTACTAAAATGATCCTTTTTCTCTGAAATCTATACATCTATTATTATATTAAAAATATTATGAAAAATATTGGTTGCTCCTTAACTAGTTTTTTGTTTGGTCATGAAGGTTAACTTTTCATTAAAGCAACTAAAGACAGATTATAGAGATGCCACTAACCCACTCCCTTCCTAGCTTCTGTGGTAATTAACACAGTCAATTGTTTGTAGAGGCATGCAAATGAGCCATTGAGGTGAAAGAGTTTCTTCTCTTGCTTTGGTAGCAGCTGTGTGAGCTACCATGTTAGCTGAGCGCTTGATTTTCTTGAATCTGCCCAGTGGAATTTTGGAAGCATATTGTCCTGTATCTCTCACTATCTGTTCTATTTCCTTTTGCATAAACTCGGTCCCATTATTGATTGAGTTAATGAGAAGCATGGAGTCTAATTCAATTACTGCAGCATTATACTCCTCCTTCAATACCAGTCCACAAGCTTTTCTCACAGCAATAGCTTGTGTGGTTAAGGCTGAAGTTGCAGTCATGGTTCTTCCTTCTCCTTTCAAAAAGACTCCTGAATGGTCCCTTATCACCACACCATAGGCCCCTTTTCTTCGTTTCTCTTCATAAGATCCATCACAGTTCAGTTTCACCCAGCCATTTGGAGGGGGATGCCACTGGGATTCTGTATTATTTGTTCCAACTGTCCTTTCTTGGGTGTCTTGCTTGGAGTGGATTTCAACTACTGCTCCCAAAGCTTGATTGACAACTCCTCTTGCTTGTGGTTGTCTATGGTGATAGATCCATTCATTGCGGGCTTTCCATATCAGCCAACATTGATAAGCGAGTAGGGATTGCCCATAAGTCATTGAGTCTCTATCTTTTAACCTCCTGAGTTGATTCATCAACTAGTCTTTTGTCCTCCTCACTTCATATCAATCAATCTTGATGTTTAAAGGGGAAATTTTCCAAACCTTACTACTCCAAGGGCCAAGCAAAAGGATATGCTCTAGTGTTTCATCTTCTTCACCACAAATTGGACAAGTTGGAGTTTTGGTTGTCTTTTTCTTCCATAGATCCCATCTGGTTGGTAAAGCTCCATTAATGACTTTCCAAATAGAGGCTTTAACCTTCGGAGCAGCTTGAGTACTCCATACCAATTTCCAAATGCCTTGTGGAATCTGGTATGAAGAGGCAGTAGCTGTAGCATTCTTTCTGTGGGCTTGTCTATACTCTGAAGCTAGAAATTGTTGTGATCGTGCAGCAATTATGGTGAATAGTAAGGAATCAAACAATTAAGAAAGCAGGAGAAAATAACACACAGAGATTTACGTGGTTCGGCAATGTGCCTACATCCACGAGAGCGAGTGGCCGTTCTTTTCCATTATAGAATAGGGTTACATCTTAAGTATTTATATAACCCTAATATGGACGTATTTACAAAAATACCTTTGTACCGTACCGTGGGGGCGTTGCCCCCGCACCCCCAACTAATCAGCGTCCCCTTTATATAAATCCCGCAAGGCAGATGCCTCCTTACCATTATACACACAACAAATATGAGCCACACATACTCTAACAGAAATGATATTCACTTCTGACAGTAAAAACCATTTTTCGTGTATGCCCATCTTACTCTGTCTAGCTGTTGGGTTTCACTCAAGGCCCTTGTTATCTCAGGAGGAAAATTTGACCATTTCAGTGTTCCACCTCCTATTTGGGTTGAGAATTAGCTCCTGAACCTTTATGATGTTACTTTGCATGCTATTTCGAATAAATCCCAAGCCTGGCACCCATCTATACTCCCAGCAATGTACTTGTCTTCCATTCCCAATTTGCCAATAGCAACCTTCTTGCAATACTTCTCTCCCTTCCATGATGCATTTGATTTTCGGTTTGCCTGCCACACAAATTTTCCATCATAGCCCACAAAGACTCAGGATTCTAAGCTAGTCTCCATGCTTGTTTAACTAGCATAGGTTTGTTGAAAGATAGCACGTCTCTCAAACCCATACACCCACTCATTTTGCTTTTAGATAAGTGCCCCCAACTCTTCCAATGTATCCCCATCTCCCCTGAAGTCTTGCTCCACCAGAACTTGCTAATGCATGAAGTAATTTCTTGGCAAAATGATTTGGGGAATTTAAAATTTGACATTGCATATGTAGGGATAGCTTGCACCACTGCCTTTATTAGAATCTCCCTTCCAACATGGTTTAACAAGCTTTCCTTTCATCCTGCTATTTTATTCTGAATCATTTCCTTGAGCCAATTCAGTACTTGTATCTTTGATCTTCCCCACTCAATTGGTAGCCCTAAGTATTTTCCCATCTTCTGCAATAAAGTTACTCTCAAGCATTGAGCTAATTCATGTTGTAACTAAGGAGTATTTCTGCTAAAAGTCACTCCTAATTTGTTAAAGTTCACCAGCTGTCTAGTGGCGTAGCAATATTTGTTCAGTATATCGTAATTGTTAGGCATTGGGTTCTATTGGCTACAAAAAAGAGGATAGAATCATCTGCAAATAATAGGTGAGAAATAACTGGTGCATTCCTGATCAATCTTATACTCTGTAACTCTTGCTCCTTAACGGTTGGTAAGGCAATAGTTACCTTATGTCGTTTCAACATAAATGTCAAAAAGGTTAATGGTCACGGCACACCATGATCCAATAGAAGTCTAGAAATAATGAAATTATATACGATGTCATATAAACTGACGGCCTCGACCCAGACCAGACGCAGATCACAAAAGATAGGTTCATAGTAAGCCACAGATCAAAGATGCAACCAACAAATGCTCAATTGCAATTCTAGTTGGGTCAGGCCCACCTTTCTGAGAGATCCAGCCTATCATTAGCGCTCGTGGGAATCTCTACTCGAAGAGATGGAATCTGTGGGGACGCAGTTGTCGGGAGTACATCGCCATTTTAGTGAAATCAACTTTCCCATTACGAATAATACGAGCTTCAATGAATCACCCCGCACGTTACAAGAATAAGATTTCACGGACTCATTTACGAGGATGGTGCATCAATTAGACTCCCTCAGAGTCAACTTCACTTTCCTATAAATTGTAAGTCTCACCTACACATCAGGGACATCACACACATCTCAACATACTACATCTCTTAAATAATAAGATTATTTGGCCACAGTCGTCATTCTCAGTGGAGTAGGTCACCTAGACTGAACAACCNGATGGAATCTGTGGGGACGCAGTTGTCGGGAGTACATCGCCATTTTAGTGAAATCAATTTGCCCATTACGAATAATACGAGCTTCAATGAATCACCCCACTATCACCTCGCACGTTACAAGAATAAGACTTCACAAACTCATTTACGAGGATGGTGCATCAATCAGACCCCCTCAGAGTCAACTTCACTTTCCTATAAATTGTAAGTCCCACCTACACATCAGGGGCATCACACACATCTCAACATACTACATCTCTTAAATAATAAGATTCTTTGGCCACAGTCGTCATTCTCAGTGGAGTAGGTCACCTAGACTGAACAACCTAATTTTTGTGTTTTGTTGTGTTGAACCCTCTTTACTTCATCCTTGATTGATTTTGTATAAACTCAATTTGTGAATCATCATAAACCTCAAACTTACTTTGGAATTGTTTCAGGCATGTACAGAGATGATATTGCCAACAAATGGTAACACTAATGAGAGCATATTTCGTGCGTCGGAATGGAACTACAATGGTCGGGCAGAATATTGCGAAGGGAAATATGGAATTGTGCCCAGGCCATATTGGATTACAACTGAGTTTGGTGGTCATGTAGGTGTTTGGACCTAATTTGGAAACCTTATTTTAAGGACCTAACGATGTACAACCATTGGATTGGTTCTAAGCTCCATCTAACATTGGACTTACGACTAATCCAATGGTTGCATTGAAGCTACATCATTAGGTCCCAAATAAAGTTCTCAAATAAGGTCGCTGCATTGCTCTTCTCAAATATATCTTCACCTTACAATCATATGAAACTGAAAATTTTGAGTAGTGTTGCAATGCAAAATGCTCACCTTTCTATATTTTCTTGGGGCAGAATATTGAGAGAGTCTTGAAGCGGTTTGGGAGCAATATTATCTTCTTTAATGGCTTAAGAGATCCTTGGAGTGGTGGAGGGTACCTCTCTCTCTTTCTCTCATGCAGCCCTATCTCTCTCTCTCTCATGCAGCCCTAATTTCTTTGTGATTTCTGGCAGGGTGTTGAAGAATATCTCTTACAGCATAATTGCCATAGTTGCCAAAGAAGGTCAGTAAATAATATTGTGAGTGTTACATTTAGANGCATAATTGCCATAGTTGCCAAAGAAGGTCAGTAAATAATATTGTGAGTGTTACATTGAAGCNCTGGCAGGGTGTTGAAGAATATCTCTTACAGCATAATTGCCATAGTTGCCAAAGAAGGTCAGTAAATAATATTGTGAGTGTTACATTTAGACAATGTTGTGTCATTGGTCAATGACATACTAAGGCCTAGATATCTTAGATGCAGATTGCGTAGGATATTTAACCGGTTTAACTTTTTAGTTTTAAGAAATTGTCCGGTATCTCAGCCCAATTATTGCATATTGTTAGACCGACTAAAAAAATGGACCAAATGATATGACGCTAACACAATGGTGTCAAGCGTCACACCACATGCTCTCTGTTTTTGATCCTATCTCTTAGCAGTACCTATTAAACTAGAAGGTGTCATGAAAGACACTATCATTAAAACCAAAACAATATGAATACAACTCCTCTCTCTCTCTCTCTCTCTCTCTCTCTCTCTCTCTCTCTCTCTCTCTCTCTCTCTCAGACATTGACATATATTCTACCAGGGGCACACCATGTAGACCTGAGATTCTCAACAAGTGAGGACCCAGAATGGCTCCTTGATGTGAGGAGAAGAGAGGTGAAGATCATAGCAAAATGGCTATCACAATATTACCACAGCCTTGCTGATCCTTCTCATTAGAGTCAACATTTTGATACTTGATTGTCTACACACTCAAGAGAATTACATCAATTTACCATTCAAAGGCAACTCATACCCCTTCAACTCTTTTGTATTTTCTGTAAGTTCCAAAATAAAAATATTGCTGTAATGTGTGCTTGACAAAGAGATATTTGTTTTTCATGGCAACATTACCACAGCCTGGCTGATCCTTCTCATTAGAGTCAACATTTTGATGCTTCATTGTCTAAACACTCGAGAGACCATTCAAATGCAACTCATACCCCTCCAATTCTTTGTATTTTCCGTAAGTTCCAAAATAAAAATCTTGCTGTAATTTGTGATTGAGAAAGAGAACTTTGTTCTTCATGGCCCGTGGTCTCATCAAGTTGTGGCAGTGTTCTATCCGGAGAATAAGTTATCTGAGAAAGATTATGAATTTATGATGGTTAGTTGTTTTCAACTCTTCTTGATGTCTAATTAGGATCTCTGATAAAAGATGGTTTATAGAGATCATGTTCTAAATGATACAATTTTCATTTTCTCTTTTGAAAAAAAAAAAAACTATGAAATAGAGGAGCCTGTGATATTGGAATTGAATAGTAAAATTTTTCATGTTACTGTCCATTTCTATGTCTTCCGGTTGAAATTGGCCAGTGAGATTTCTATATCATTGTCCAATGTTATTGTCCAATGTCGCTGACCATTTTCTAATCTTGCTAATTACACCATTAAGAATAAATTATGATTTCATTTGTCCTTTGAGATCCAAAAGAATTCTTGTTGGACTTTTGGATTAAAAAAATAAATAAATTGGACCCACCAACAAAAAAAACCCTTAAAAATGACTCATATAATTTTTTAGCTCAAAGGTTAGGCCCCCCGGTGGTTGGCTCAGGCCAACACATGGCCTACCAAAGTACCAACATTAAGCATAACGTATTAAATTTTCAATGAATTAATATATAAAGATGGTTTTTTTTTTGGTTTGGTTCAATTGTCAGGGTGTTTCGATTTGCTTATGCACATCTCGACTAATTTCTTTTTCGATCCGGTTAAAAGCAAGTCATCTATGCCTAGATTAACATATTCATAAAAAATAAATCTCTCATAGTCTGACTTTAAAGAGTTGTTAAGATTCGAACCACATTTTAAAAGTAATTTTGATACGACATTTTGTGCTCCCTTTTTGACATTTTGCAATTTGTATGAAAGAATCTTGACAAAAAAAAAGTGGAAAATATAAAAAGATAAAAGGGTATTAACAACAGTTTAATCAATAACCTAAACAGGATGACATGGATAATTTTAAATTTTAAGTCACATTGAGGTTTGAGGTTTTGA